GCGAGCAGTGATGCCACCAAGTTTCGCATTCACCTTCATGAGAACATTCGCATGGTATTGAGGCCTATTGGTAATGCAGTGTGCAGATTGGAGCACTTGAGAGGGGGTCCCATATCGGCAGTCGGAAGACTTCTTGATGCGAAGATAGACCCAAGAATCCTTGTCGGGGACGATGAATACCATGAGCTGGGGCTCTCTCTTGTTCTGCGCCGCGATCGCATCGTAGAGCTTTTTAACACTGGTGCCAACGTCTTCGCTCAATCCCTTGACAACCGGTCGACCAGTCACCTCACCACCCATGCTCTTGTACATCTTGACAAATTGTTCAACCCAGTTCAATGTCTGATCCTGGCTGATTGACTTTCGATGTCCGGAAAAGAACCCGACACCCCAAGCCTGAAGGGCCTTTTCATTGGGTTTGTAGAACTTCTTACCGCGGAGATCCCAACTTCCAGAATGCTGAGGGTTGTGCTTGCGGTTGCCCCCAAACTGAAGCTCAGGACTCGGAAGCAGTCGAGCCTTGGTCTTGATCATTTGATCGCTGATTTTCATGCCATAAAGTTTTAGAATCGGGTCATTCTTGTGCTGGAGAAGCTCCTTGGACTGGCGAGCATTGGCCAAACGCTTTGGAGGCCTGGTTGCACACCATTGAATCATTTGTGCCGCCTGTACATCAGTAAGCTTGTAGCGGTATCGCTGGAGGCCTTTGATGACTAGGAACTCGGCTGGGTAATGAACATCTTCCTTTTGCATCTCCACCAGGAGCATGTTGGGGTATTCGAGGCGGATGTTGTACCGTCTCATAAAGTACTCTTCGAGGTGAATTCGAGTAGACTTCCCAGTGGCCTTGTCGTAATAATCAATGAAAAACTCCTTGGGCTTTGCATGAATCAAGCCCTTGACAATGAAACTCTTCAGCTTGAAAGGGCAACCCTCATAGTTGGGTGCCACTCGAAGACCCTGAATCTTCTTGTTCACCTGGGCAAACCACTTCGATTCCTTTGTACCACCATATTCATCGCGAGTTGACTGGAGGTTCCTGACCAGAGTCAACATGTCGTTCCATCCGTTCACATTCATCATGTAGCCCATCAGACTAATACGAGAAAAGAAAACGCAGTGAGCGACATCGACATTGAGGATTAGACCTTGCTATAAGTAAACGTCAGTTTTCCGATCTTTAATTTGAATCAACGGATGATGCCTTACAGGAGTGGGCTTAATTGCTTGGTAGATGCCTCGGTAAACGGAAGCACCCATATTGGCGAGCGGCTGGTAAAATTCTTGCTTTAGCTCCTCATCATCTCCAAGCTTGTCGAAGAAGAAGGCCCGCTTGATTGCAGAAAATTGTTTAGTGGGCCATTCGCGAAGCAAATGATCAAGGAAGCCTGTCATTATCAGCTTGCTGAATCAAAAACGGAGTGATACGCGAAATCAAGGAGTACTTACTCAGAGATTCAATTACGAGTTCGTCCAGATCACGGCGGTTTTGCAGCCAGGAATTGATCACTGACAAGTTGATCTTTCGCTTTTGAATGACGGACATTCTAAAAGCAGGGTTCCTCTTGAACTCATCAACAGTAGCAAGAGTCTTGATGTCTCGGGTCAAGTCACCCTTGAAGTCGATAATCTCATTCCAGTCATCAAAGTTGCGCAGCGACCTGCAACACAGATTAGAAAATATATGGCAGTAAACAGAAATACATTATACTTACCAGCAGATTCTTCCACCATCCCAGATGCCATCCGGAATGTGTGCTTTTCGAGTCTCGCTGTTCCAGCACTTTCTCAAGACCCGCCGGTCAGTCTCATTTTGGTCTCCATGGAGAACATTGATCTAGTAATTGATGAGCAAATAATTCCATTAAGGAGGGGCAAAAAAGCACTCACCTCATACTGATAAACTGCCTTGTCTGGGAAAGAAGTGATCGGGTACGCATTCATCATAACCTCGATCTCTTTGCCAGAAGTATTGTAGCCAACACGACGCTGGATTTGAGTCTCCTCTGGGGCAGACTAGAAAAAGATTGGTTAGCATAATTCGTTATCCACAGATGTAGAGTTATCGGGAATTATCGGTCGCAAACTTACAGAAGAAGGCCTGACTTTGAATCGATGCCAGGGAATGTCAATATTCTTACAGCCATCCCAGGCAACGGTCATGTAATCTTTGTGTCGGATAACCTTCTCTTGGTCGAGTCTGTGCTGCTCAAAAACAGCCACTTTCACTCCTTCTCTAGCAAGACGCTCATAGTTGGCCTTTTCTTCCGGAGTCCAGTTAGCCGGGAATTCTGGAGGGGTCTCAACTCGACGGATGGGAGAGTCACTGCTACTGGAACCAGTGCTCTTAGGCTTCCGGTGCTCGCCTGACTCGGGGTCATATCGGGTTCGGCGCATCCAAGCAGTGCTTTCTGCTTCTTTTTTGCGTCTTGCCTCATCTTCCAGTTTAGCCTTGTGGTCACGCAGCTCTTGGACCTGGCGCGGATCCAAGGGCTTTGCCACAGGAGCAGAGTAGCGCAAAGGAAGCTCAAGGGTGAGCTTGGGTTGGCGGGAGGACGAAGAAGAGTGGGGAGGCTTTGAAGATGTTTTCGTAGCTGCAGTAGGTGTGGAGGTAGATTTGGGCTTGGAGGAAGTGGTAGAGCGGTGCCCGGAACGGGACCTGTGCTCATCATCCTCTTCAGTTGAGGGTTTCATAGGCCTTTGGGGACCCATGGTGAAATCACGCTCCTATCAATCACCCTTTGTTAGTCAAGGTTCTATTTCTTTTATGAGAGACGTGGAGCCATCAAGTAAGACAGGCGAAACAAAGTGAGGTTGTTATGACAGCTAAGAGGCCATACTACTTGGCAATGTAAAGTGAAGTAGATACCGTTCGCTTTTGCTTCGCTTGAACTCGGAATGAAAGAGGGGTAGGTAGTATGAGAGTGACCACTTACACAGAGTCAAAAACTTTAGTGAGCCAGAGATGATTGTCGTGGTAAATGATATGGGGGGATCACAGAGGTAGTCAGACGTGTTAAACGTCAAACTAAGAAATGTCTTCGGTTTGGATGATGCAAACAGATGCAGAAATCCCAATTGCTAAAGACAAAGTGATGGAGAGTGATGGAGAGAGAAGAAAAAGAAAGAAGGAAGAGATCAACGAGGGAGGTGTTTTTATAGATGAAGTTAGGGCGGGTACCTGGGGTACGGGGCAAGGTGTGTTCCTTCTCGAGGTGAATGGGTATTGTGTAGCGTCTGCCCTTTTGAGTAGGTAGGCAGACTCTATGAATAAGCATAGAACAATGCCCTTTTTTAGAGCAGGATGTCCCTTCCAAGTATGGAGGATACCATAGAGATACCTAGTATAGCATATATATATGTAACATTACAATTGCCATCAAAGTCCGACCTATGTGAACTGAATATACTCGTTTATACTAGCGTTTGTCTAATAATATCAAGGAACCCGATGCTTAGATATCTCGCACTTTCCCTTGAGATTGTCCGCTGGTTCAAACGCGCGTAGGAGGAGCTAGTGCAAGTTTTACTTATTCTCTGAATGTGAATCGACAATCTTTATAGGCAACGATTTGTTCTATTTGTGATCTGACAGAAAGCTGTCTAGAGCAAGGCTCCTTAGTTGCGGCGCTATTGATATAACACCTAATATATTATGGAAAAATCTTGTCGATTACCTTGGTAATGATGCTTAAGATGGTGGCACCGGATGAGTAGTCTACTGGGAAACTGACTAGCGTGTTACATAGAGGTTGATGAAATAGCCCCTCTGCCCGTACCCGAGATAGGGTAAACAGCCAACAGTCAGTCGGAATAAAAATGTGGAGTAAAAGGAATAAAGGCATAACTCTCTGATTGGGTTCCGTTAGCTGTCGACTTCTGTCAGCAAACAGAGGATGATACATATAGGGTTACATGGAAGGCTCAGGAGCAAAACCATAAGTACATATGAATTAGATTTTAGTGGAACTGGTGTCTTCTCGATGGGAGTATCTGTGGCATCTTCAAGCAGCGGTGCAAAGCAAAAAGAAAGGGCCAACAAGATGAACACAATCGACCCATTAGCGTGTGGTCTATGTGCCACGAGATATCCCATCTCACTTCCACGGGTTAACTTAAAGCATTTATTTTCCTTTGTACTGTTTCATTGCCTGTCTATAAGACAGTGCGGAATATCATGCAATTCAGGCTCCATAAAGGCCGAGGCAGATTCGGTATAGGTATGACCTACTTTAAGGAAGGAGCCGGGGTCTAGCACACGAAGTGCGATCGAAATGTGACTAAAGTAAGAAATAGTCAAATACTTCTATATCTAATTGGCTGTAGTATTTTTCAATGTCCAGTGCTCACTTAGTTCGCAGTTTCACCTTACCTACAAAACCGAATAACTGGTCTCCGAAAAGTATGAAGATTCAACCATCTGTATGTTATCTAACCTTTTCATGAGATAATTGGATGGTGTATAAGTAATTGATATGATGAATAGGGCTTTGACTTTTCGTGGTTTGACCAGAATCAAAGGTTATACATAAAAAATATGTTTCCATAAATTAAGCTCTTTCCCACCATTTCCCATCATCTATCTATAAAACTGAGAAGGGAAAGAAATATCTGAAATGAGATATCTAAGAAGACATGTAAAAAGACGTTTGAAAAGGCGTCTTAAAAAACACTACCATCGACCTAACTGGATTACGTTGTTCTCAAGGACAGAGTCCGCACACGCGGCCGATTATTCCTTTGTTAATGTTAGTTTTGATGTTAATTTTAACATAAAAAGAAGGCTGGAATATGCTAGAAGATCTGGGCTACATGATGTAGTAGTAAAAAAAAGGCACAAAAGATAATACGCTCAATCTGCGGCTCGGGCCGATTGTTCTTTTTGGTCTAAGATTCCCCCCTAATACAAATCTTGTAGTCCCTCCCAACCAACCCACTCATTTACAGTTTTGGTTAAGCACAAAGCAACGAAGCCAAACCAACAAACAAGACAGATCCTCATGCCAATCACCGAGGAAGAGCTTGAGGCCACCACGCTCGGTCGCGCGATCAACAACGCGTCCGACCAGAGGCTACGCGTGGTTCTCAAATCCATCTGCGCGAAAAACGACCAGGCTCGTAAAGAAGCCGAGAGTCAATTTCTGGTATTGGCGGCCGATACCAAAGAGAGCCCCGACAGCAATAAAAGAGCAATTTCCCGATACGCGTCTTGCATCAATTGCGAGAAGGAATTCGATGTTACGACCAACACGGAGAAAAGCTGTCGATATAATCCAGGCACGATTGTGCAAAAATTGAGATCACGGTCCAGTCGAGTATGCTCAATAAGCTAACCCACAATAGAGAAAAATGAGCCCACCGGCGAAGATCTTTTTGTCGACAATTGGGATGAGTTTGAGGTGGACACCGATGAAATGCGCAAGGATTTCCCACACTGCTTTACGTTCATGTGCTGTAATGAAAACCTTGAAGAGAACCCCCATGGATGTGTGACCGACTTCCATCGAGAACAGCACCCTGAGGAGAAGCCATCGAAAAGGTCGAGAGCTGTTTGAGCTGGGGTACCATGAATGTAGTATGAGACCTGGTGTATAGGTTTAGGTCTATGTGTCCAAGTTGAGGTGACGGTGACGGTCGCCAGTTTCCCCCATCACCATCGCAATTGTGCAAGCTCAAAGATATTTCCTAGGCTTTACCTAGGCACATTGTGTGGAGTATACGATGACGTAGAGACCCACTCCCCACGCTGCTTCCGCAGATGCCCCACCGATCACCATCATCTGGGCAGTTCCAACCTTGGAAGAGGGTTTGCTTTAAGATTCTATGTTAAATTCAAACTGCATGGACACCCATCGAATAGGTTTACTCTCTGGATGACTTATTCTTTTCCTAGTGTAGAGTGGCAAGACCCTGACTTTCAGGAGAATCAACAAACCTTTCTTCCTTTTGCCAGAACTGCTCGCCCGAGAAAATGTCAGTTACATTTATCCGCTATCAGGCCCTAGTCCTCGCCTCTACTTTGTTATATATATCGACTTCACTGAGGGGAGTTGGAAGAAAGATCGAATGTATGGACGTAAGATCTATGGGCGAAGGAGGGGGGCGACTTTGTGCACTTCAAGATGATTAAGAATCTACCAAAAGGGATGCACAGGCTGCTTGCTTAATTTGTTTATGAGATTATCTGCTTATTTGAGTCTGTACAAAGCATGGTTGGGTGGACCCAACCAGCAAGCAGAAATTGGTGGCCTGTGGCCCTATTTGGAAAAACAAAGAACGAAAAAATGCCAGATAGATCAACGCCGATGGAAGATGCAAAGGGGGCTCTGAACAACCGCGTATGCCCCGACCATGTTTCGTGAAATGCCCCCCAGGGAAAAAAGAGCTGGGTCATCAAGTCCTTAAAAGACAAATCGGGATATTTTGCGCGCCGGGGAAATGAAATTGCAAAAGCAGAGAGCAAGTGATTTTACACTGCAAGTGAACTGTGGTCCTCGGAGAAGAAGGAGCAACCACTGGCTCAGCGGTAAGCACCTAGAGATGAGGTATGAGTAAGAATGTCATTATGGGAGAGATATATGACGATCTTACCGGAGTAGGGGTTCTGACCTCCACCTGGTCCGTGTGCAGTTTGCGGGATCTGTATTTGGGAAATGTCGGAAGGAATTTCAACGTGGCGAAGAAGGTCTATCATTTTCTCGGGAGAAAGGCGGGTGATGTTGTAGGCAGCCGCAGAAGGCAGGATGCTCAAGAGATTCACCACTTCACGAGGCAGGGGAGCTGGAGAACCTTGCGGTCTGTATGAGGCACTTTGGCCATTCAACTGTTGTACTCGTTTCGGCTGGTCGAGACGCCGAGCTTGTGCGCTCTTCATTGGTGACTCAGCGCGAACAAACTTTCGTGGGCGACCCGAGTCTTCATCATATTCATCAGTAGGATAAGGTCTCTTAGGTGAGTTGAGGGAAGTGTCCATGTATCTGGCCGTGGGAGAACCGTGGGATTCCGCGGATATTCCTGGCATGTGGGTCTTCGGCTTAGTCTGGGACGGGGACAAAATCAGTTGCACGGAAGTAGGGTCGAAGTTGGAATTAGAGTAACGATTGGCGAATTGTTCCAGAGCAGGATCCTCCGGGTATAGTTCACGCATGCGGGTTTCCAAGTTGATCACCTGGGTGAGATCACCGTAGCGTGATTCATACTCGTGGAGGAAGGAAAAGATGGGCTTAGCCTTGTGCACATTCTCCGGGTTGGATGTCAATTTCCTAACGGTTGTTTCGAACACAGCTCGGGCATCTTTGACAGTGGTTAGTAGGTTTCTTAGAAACTTAGGATGTCGACTTACTGATGGTATCATTAATGTCGAGCAGATGCCTCAAGTATTCGAGTGCAAAGTGCTCATCCTCTGGGAATAATTTTGCGCCCCTCTCGAAGATCTTGGTGGCCGCAGGGTCTTTGTAGCAATGGTATTCCATCAGAGCACTCGCGATGTAAACATCGCTGGTAATCCGACCTCGCTTGCGCGCTTCGGCGAAAATCTGGCGAGAGCCAGCCAATTCTCCTGGTTTTCCTTTACCCTGGATCCGACGCATGGAGCGCATGAGAGAGATCCATGCGAAGGAGACAGTCTTGGAGATGATATTGATCTGAACGGAATGGGTCTTTCGAACGGCATCAATCTGTGCCGTTTTGGCGGCTTCTCTTTCTTTGGCTTCAGGATCATCTTCATCCTCATTTTGAGGTTGAGTTTCCACATTCTGTGAAGCAAAGTAAGCTTCGATGCGTTCGACATCTTGGGTTTCCTGATTGCGAGCCTTGTTGATCAACTCGTAAAGCGCATCAAGCAACTTGTCGTATGGTTCCCGGACCTTGGCAGCGCGCTTGGCGGAATCCTGTTCCGAATCTGAGGTGACCTCGAGTCGATCCGCGCGTTTGAATGTCAGCAGACAACTCTCTGGATTTGCATCAATGCCCTTCTTCAAGAAATCTGTGCCGGCATCTTCCATATCGTTTAGGAAGCAGAACTCAGCCGCATCAAACCACATTTCGGGCAAGAAGGTCAGTGCCATGAGTGCCTGTTTGTAGAAGTACACCACACGTGACTTGTAAGCGGCAGGATCTTCTTCTTTCAGTACTAGAGGATCTTCTTTTTCCCATGCGATCCAGCGCTTCCAGATATCAGCTTGTGCTGAATATTCAACATCGCCTTCGGAGCCAGGAACAGGAGGCAGTGGTGGAAGCGACGTCCGAATCAAATCGCGGGTGATGTTTTGTAATTCCGTGTATGAGCTACGCGCAGTCATGTAGGACGGTGAATGTTCTTGAAGGAATTTGCGGCCCTGGTGGAGAACGTTAATACGAGCCAGTTGGATTCAAGTACTGTCCAGCTTACCGTGAGCTTGTTTAGATTCATCTCGAATTGATCATACTCCTTCCAGAGAGTATTGACAGCTTGGGTCGGCACGCCAATAGCTCGTTGGTAGGCCTTTCGCAGTAGGTCCATCTTCTGCTGGTCCTGCCACCCAGAGCCACCAACTATTCCTGGCCCAGAACGGATGAACTCAATGTAGTCTGTCCAGATATTTCCGGAGTCCTTGTCCATTCCAACATGTTGAATGGCCATATCATATGCCGATGAAATCGTCTTCCGTGCCTCGCCAGATGCATCTGTCGTCAATGGGTTACGACGACGGATGTAATCAAGGTAGACAGACCAGAGCTGAACGCTGGGTGTCGCCAGGAGCGTCCGGTTGAAGATCTGCTCCAAACGGAAGAATTCATTGAGCTCAGACTCCATGCTGGCATAGGCCACCCATTGGTCGGCCTGAGATGTATCCGATTAGCAATCGTGTACCTTGCCGAGAGAGAAAAAGAAAGGACAAGAAAAGGGAAGACTTACCGCCATGGGGAACAGCGTCAAGAACCGCTCATAAGTGTCGCGTGCGGTGTCTAGTCTGTTGCGGACTCTGTGCTCGGCAATTAACTCCAACCAAGCAGGGATATCACCTCGGGGATCCTCTCGAATCCGGTCTTCCAGCATGCCGACACGGTCATGGGCCAGACGACCCTTTGAAGCAGGAGAGTCAGGTACAGAAGTAGGAACAGTATTGTTCTGCATGGTTGCGGATTGCAAGTCTTGCGTAGCCCATTGCGATTGGACAGGAACAGAAGAGGGATCGATATTATAGACAGGATCAGGAGAATAAGAACTATTGGCAACATCTGGTCCGCTGGCAGGTGCCTGCTCAGCTTGGTGTGATGATACATCAGGGGAAGTGTTTTGCATTGCATTTCCTGAGCTGGGATCTTCAGACATGGTCACAGGCACAGCATTGACATCTTCACCCCCAAGCACAGCCGGCGGCTCATACTCCGCATCACCCTCGTCATCCTCGTCATCATCAACCTCAAATCCGCCAATTGTTCGTGTCTTGGGCTGTGCCTCAGCAGCGGCAGATGCTGGCACAGGTGTCGACGACTCTGCGCGTGAGGGGTTCTGAGAAGGATCGGTGGAATCACTGGTCTGGCCAGCGTCTGCGTCCGAGGCGACATCTGCATCGGAGGCGGCAGTCGGGTTGGGGATGGAATCTTCGGTCTCACCCGAGGGAGCTGCATCAGTGGGGCCTGCATCAGGTTGCTGGGTCTCGGGAAACGAGGCCGAGTACTGATCCCCCAATGCCAGTGAGGGGTCATAGTCATCTGATTCTGCGTCTGAGTTATCACCTTCCTGCTCCACAGTTGGGGATTGGGAATCAGTATTTAAGGCTTGAGCCTGGAAGAAGGCAGCTTCAGCTTCATCGTCCGCCATGATGGGGGGTGATCGATGCGATAATCGCAAAGTCGAGGAAAAGTGAGGAACTGGGAACGTCAGAAGGTGACGGCGCAAGCCGAAGCAGGGTTTGCGCGATGTGATATCAGGATGAGTTAAAATGAAGACAACTCTTCCAAAGGTCAAGGGTTAAGGTGGAGCACAGCCACTTTTGACGAGATAACCCTCAGCCGCAATGTATCTGATAGCAAATAATGGCCAAGAGGTAGAGAGCAAAGCTGCGATGACTGTGATGCAAGTTGCCCGGGTAGTGAAATTGGGGTCACGTGCAGGCGGTGAGGGCAATGCGAGGGACGCGAAAGGCGCGTCGATCGATGGGCTCCTCGCATTAAGCTAGAGGGGTTAAGAGTAAACTGCATTCTTGTGGACCTGTTGATTTCTCTTGTTTTTCCTATTTTCTTCTTCTTTCCACTCCCCCTGTTCATACAATCTTCTCCTATTGCCTCTTGAACTCTTTAATTCCCCGTACATACCCTCATATCTTATCACAATGTCCGTCGTCTCACTCCTGGGAGTGAAAAACCTCAACAACCCGGCTCCTTTCACCGCCTCTTACCAGTTCGAAATTACCTTTGAGTGCCTTGAGCAGCTTCAGAAGGGTGAGTACTCACTTGTTCCCCCTTGTTTTCTAGTCGAGTTTTCTAACAAGTTCTTTCAGATTTGGAATGGAAACTCACCTACGTCGGATCCGCCACTTCGTACGTCCCCTCTCAACGCTCCTTGTTTCGTACCAATCCTGCAGATTCTAACTATAATAGCTCCGAGTATGATCAGGAACTCGATTCCCTCCTCGTCGGTCCCATCCCGGTCGGAGTGAACAAGTTCATCTTCGAGGCCGACGCACCTGATGTTAAGCGCATTCCTACTTCCGAGATGCTTGGCGTCACCGTCATCCTCCTCACCTGCAGTTACGATGGCCGAGAGTTCGTTCGTGTTGGCTACTACGTGAATAACGAGTACGACAGCGAGGAGCTGGCAGCCGAGCCCCCTGCGAAGCCCGTGATTGAGCGCATTCGCCGCAATGTCCTCGCCGAGAAGCCCCGTGTGACCCGCTTTGCCATCAAATGGTGAGAATCCCTTGTTTTGTTTGTTTACATACCTAGTGGGGATTTTACTTACCTTTTTTTTTTCCTCTTAGGGACTCTGATGACTCTGCCCCCGCAGAGTACCCGCCTGACCAGCCCGAGGCCGATGGTCTCGACGATGACAGTGGAACCTACGGTGCTGAGGAGCGTGAGCTCGAGGCTGCACTCCTCAAGGAGCTCGAGGAATCCAACAAGCCCGCCGAGGGTGATGACCATGAAATGGAAGGCACCGATGCCCCTGCTGGCAAGGAGGACGAGGAAGAAGAGATCTCCGATGCCGAAAGTGAAGATCTTGAGGCGGAGAGTGACGACGATGAGGATGATCTTGATGAGGAAGATGGTGGTGATGGTGACGACGATGTTGAGATGGGCGACGACGCAGAACACAAGGACGATACCGCCAAGCCAACTCACCAGCCTCAGCCTGAGCTCATGGTACACTAAATTATGGTGTCCTACCGGCCTGCAGGAGTGGTTTCTTTGCTTTTTACACTCTTCCTTTTTGAATGCTATTTAACGACAGCCAGAACGCAATGTTTACGACCCTTGGACTGATTTTCCATGTTCTTACCCTGAATTGGCATTGACTATAGGTCTTTGAAATAGAATTGGTATAATTTTGAATCCCACTGGCCTTCAGTCAGCCGTTTATATTCCTTCTGCTCCAATCTTCTCCATGCAGTAATAGGCATGGTGGTGAGGCCGTTTTTGTAACATAAACCAACTCCCCAGTACGCACCATGCAGGGGCGGCATTGATGAATGTCAAACCGCCTTCTACAATCTATGAAATACTAGCATTGTAGTTTGAGGCGAGAATTGACACCTAGAATGTTTAGAGCGTTCCTTTCCATCGAACTATTCACCAAAACAAAAACTTAGTCTATTGTTTACCCAAAGTACATAGCACGGAACTTATGTCTCACTTTATCAGATTCATTGTTGCTATGTACTTGTCTTCATTTCACACGTAGCTAGGTGTGGTTATGTCTTGGAACTAGCTTTGATAGCTTCTGCTCTAAGTTTGCCAAAGCAGACAAGTGAACACCTACAATTGTACGAGCAAGGTGGATCCAGCTTTCAGCGGGGAGTCAAGTGGAGGGGTGAAATTGCTAAGTGATCTGTCACATCCCGCCTTGACCTAACTAACCTGACACCGGAAAAAAAAATCAAGACTCCTCCTAGGAGGTAGGTATAGTTCACCCATTTTTAGAAATCCCGAACTCGATAGGAGATATCGCCTAAAAGCCAAACTTGGAACCAAGCGCTGTTGTCAAAAGACCGGTCAGCGACAGTTATGCAAGGGGGTTAAACACTACACATAGGTCCGTGGACCTGAAGAAAGATCGACTTACCGCCCATGATAGCTTTCTTCTTTTGTGACTGTACGTATTTGTTAACATCGTTAGCAAAGCCGCTGCTGTTCTCCTCTAGTCTGTCCATGCTATCTCCGACGATCCCGAGACGCTCTGTGCGCTCTTGGACTTGACGTGACATGTAAGACCAGTAGCCTTCCTGGCTGCTACCCTGCGCGGGTGTCGGTGGGGTTCGTCCTTCGTTTTGGGCTCTTCGGCGTTCTTGGTCTTCGAGTTTCATCTGTTCGATCATCCCCTTCGATGGTGGTCGCCCTGGACCGCCGACTAGATTTGATGTTAGATTACAATTATATAGGCATTGATGGGGCTGACTTACTTAGAATGTCCATGTCAGCCGGTGAAATATATTGTGTGCCGGAGATCCATTGGACGTTCGTGATGGTTGGACGCGGGGGAACCACAGCTTCTGGGTTGTAAAGCTTATCATTTGAAGGGTGCCTGTACGTGAGTTAGCATTAGCACTGTCTCGACGAATTGATGGGGAGCGCATACAGTCTGTTTCCACCTCCCCAAACATTGAACATTCCGACCTCTGAAGGGCCAACCCATGTCATGATATTTCCAGTAGGGGTGATGCAAGCTTCCGAGAGGCGTCGCATATCCGCGATATGATTGATCTTGGTGCAACCAATATCTCGAAGAGCTGGGATCGAGAATGCTCGCGCGTGGCCGTCGCCGAAAAGACCAACCAAGCTGTAGCCTCGTCCCTCAGTCTTGACAAGGGCTGCTGAGTCGCAGAGACAGTCATCCCATGTCTTGTGGGCACCCTTTGATGTCGGGGGCTTGAAAATTCGACAGCCAGAGGGAGTCACGGCAATGACAACACCATTAATTTTCGTACCACTCCTCAAACCTCCGACTGAACTTGGAGTAGCCAAAGCAAGACCACCAGACTCGGCATCGATGGGAATGACACTGATCACCTTGTCTTCAACAGCCGATGACCCAGCAAAAGCAACTTCATAGGTGCCATTGGAAGCAGGAAGGATCTTGAATGTTGCCACATTGCCCCTATTCGTGCCGACAAAGCAGCAAATGCTTGAGTAGTCTAGAACACGGTTAGTACATTGGTTTAATCCGCTAGCCTGAGTCATGCATAGGTACCTTCGCCCTCCAAAGTCATCACACCAAATTCGATTTGAGTGGGCCATTCTGGCTGAACTTCGTCCGAGCCACGGTTCTTGCGGAAGCCACTCCGCTTCTGTCCCTTAACGAGGTCTGACATGTGTGCGGTGTGTATGATAGCAGGCCCACGCAAGTCAATAATCACCAAAATACCACTCTGGTAACCGGCCGCTACAAATCCAACCTGCCCATGCTTCAATGCTGTCACCGGACCTTGTTGCATATTCAAAAGAGTCAGAGGTAGCATTCCTGTCTTGAGACCAGGGTCAGTTCGCTTGGTTATCGGAGTCAGCTTCCCTGGTCCTTCATTGGCACCAGGAGACTCCTCGCACCCGTATGAGGGGTTGTTGCCCCAGCGGAAGACAGCAAGCTCTCCGGTTCTGAGTCCAATAGACATCTCGCCGGTGCCGCTGGCGAGAGACATTTCGGTCACCTCGATATTGCCGACTCGGCCTATGGCACGGGCAAGATCAACTTGAACCACGTCACCGTTTTCAATTTCATCATCGTGTCCACAGTCCCAGACACGGACGGTTCCATCTGCGTGTGCGGTCGAAATAACATTGCGGTTTTCAAAGCGCTTCAGGGGGTTCTTCGCCTCCACGCCGCCCATTGCAAATCTGGGTCCCTGCGACCGGCGCTCTCTCAGACCAAGCCACACCGTCCGATCAACGGGAGTAAGCACGGCTTTGTTTACAAAGGGATGGACGAAAGTGAGGTACGGATGTAGCATGTTAGTTGGTGTGATTGTGTGTCCACTGGGGAAACTCAGGGTAATAATTTCACCAGATGATAGCATAGCGATGAGTGCGATTGGGTCATGGGCGCCATTGAAGTAGGGTGAGGATCGAGGGATCAGGCAGAGGTCGACAACCTTAGCCCCCGGTGGGACAGAGAGATTGATTTGTCGCCGTGGCCGCTCGAGATAATTAGATAGGATTTGCCATGAGGATGTCTGATAGTTGGGCGTCGAGCCCATGTCCAAGAAAACGAGGCCCTTGGTCTGATCACCTACTGGTCGGCCACCAGCCACCAAAAGTCCAGTGTCATCCGGGTTATTTTTGACGCACCAGATAACCTTTGTGATAGGCTCTTTGGGCCCAGCAGCCTCCCCAGGTGAGCCTGGTCTGCCACCAGCACCTGGTTGGTCGACATTGGGTGTCTGGACAGTCCGGGCATGAAGCTTGCGCCCATCCTTTGTATCCCAGAGCACTATACTTGAGTCTTCATGAACTGTCAGAATGAAGATCCCGTTGGGATGCCAGATCGCGTTCGTCAATTTGGGTCTGCGCACGTCGTGAGATGGTAGGGAGTCTCCACCCGGTGCCCCAGGGGGATTTCATAAACAAAGTATTTTTGAGCAAGATTCTGCTTGAATGTAAATGTCACTGCTCCCTCTGGATATCCCACTAAAATCTTGCCAATATCTCGAGGAGAGAACTCTAGAGATACGACGGGGAAGAACCGCGCGCGAGGGTTCCGTTCCAACCACAAATTCGGAACTTTGAACGGCGTGAGGGACTCTCGATCGAGATCGTACGCAATAATTTCACCTATTCACAGGTCAATATTCAGTTCTTTTCTTCCTCCTGATCAATTTACGGACCATTCTGCAAGCCGATAAACGCATAATCCAAGCAAGGGTCCGTTAACAAAGCGGTCACCTGGCCCGGTGGCGCATAGGAAACCACCATGCGTCCAGTCACCAAGGAGTATATGCAGATTTCATTCTTGGAGTCGATGCTGACCAGCTTATCGGCGCAAAACTGAAGGAACCGCGCGGACGCCTTCCGCGGAAACTCAAAGACCACTGAAACTCGTCGTTGCCCAAAGACATAGATCTGCCCGCTTCCGAACTGAGTATCACTGGTGCCGACTGCAATGAGGGATTGTATGGGATCATATGCGATTGCACTAATCTGCGAGTTTACACCACATCGTGCGAACTGAGAACAGCGGTGTCAGTTGGGAAAAAGAGGTGCCTGGGATGCCAAGAACTTACATCGTCCAGGAGGAACAAGTCCGGGGATAAGCCCGCAGACAGATCCTTCTGGATACCAGCTTGCTTTCCTCGCAGGAACTGAGCCATCTGCGATAGAGGTGTGGCAGGTTATGGGAAATGTAGAAATGGTCAAGTGCGGAGAGAGAATACCATTGACGCCATGCAGAAGCTAAACAACGGATCTGCCCCGCTCCGCCCTATCGCCCTGCCCTATCAGTTCCGACTTGGCATTGAAGGCAACTTGATTCTTCTTTCTCTCTCCTCTGAGTCTTGTTGTTCTACGACATATATATTGATATGAGCACAAATTTTATTTTGATTCGAACCTTTTGATACAAACGCTATATATATCAATGCAAAAAAAAAAGATCCAAATTCCAAATCGCATGCAGCTATATAGGGCCAGCCCGTCGCTGGAAGGAACCTCGCTATGCAACAGAACCAGTCTAATAGTGATCATCTAGGTATCACGTTGGACATATAAAGCGCTCAGTTAAATCAATTTGCCCCGTTATGCTTGCCCCGTTATGCCAGTGTAAGTCTCGTCATTTCCGCAATTGTGGTTGTCAATCGTCTCCGCGCATCAAATTCGCTCGTCTCGTCTCGATTTCGATAATATTGCACAGTGATTTGGGACACCAGCCGGTAGCACGCATACCTAGGTTGGGGGGAAAAAGAATTAGCAACAGCGCAAAAGAATTGAGATAGTAAACAGTATTCCGACACATACAAGACCAACCGGATATTTTCCTCCCTTGTCCTGGACACCGCCATCCCTGCTCCCTGCAAAACTGCTGGGGATGCATTGGCAAAGATCTCTGCCATCAACACATCACCCCATACGGCACTGCTGAAGTCCACAATGCCAGATAACTGTCCCGACTCTTCGTTTACCAAAACGTGGCAGGGTCGACCAAAGTCCACGACCACAAGACGTGGTAGTGAAACATCTTCAAGAGCAGGTGCTAGGCGACTGAGTTCGTGTCGGATCTCCGAGTAAGGAAGGTGGATGAACATGTCCTCGGCATCGCGAAGAATGCCTTCAAACAGGGCACAGAAGGCCTCTCGCCAGGAGGGTCTTCCCGCGCCAAATGCCACTTGCTGCAAAGTGCCAAACCCAGGAGCCGCATTTTGGCCGATGGCGCTCACTAAGAAGCCCAAGTGGCGGTCGATACCGTCGCGTTGTTGGGAGGTGAGCTTGCCTTCCATCTCTGACAGACTCTTCCCTTTCATATACTGTCGGATCAAGTAGGCAGATCCCCAGAATCTTCCATGGGGATCATAATGGTAGAGCCGAGGGATACAAGGATTTGCACTTTGCGCTAGAAGGGAAAGGAACTGGGCTTCGGTTTCGAGGAACGACCGCTCACGTCGAAGGAGAGCGGTCCTTGATGATGGAGACCCCTTGAGCAACAAATGGGCTCCATTCGACAGCGTCAGAAGCCGCAATGAGTGCATGTGGCCAAAAATTGGATGTGAGTGTTGCACACGGACTGTGGAAGGAAACAGCAGCGAGAGGACATCGTCCAATCTATGGTGTTCGTCTACCTCGGCGGCACGAGACTGTCGATGAAAAGGTTCGCTGCCGTTTGTTCTCTTGAGTGATGGCATCGTAGACCATGTTTTCAGGTTAAGTTGTTGCATCGTGGTCTATTTAGTAGGGGAGATTGGCAAACACCTGGGCAGAGTGGGACGCTAATATAAGCAAGGCTACGACTCATGAACCTTGGAAAAGATATTGACAGGGGTAACGTATGAACAAGGCTATCGTGAATCATGGACCTTTGCCAGGCAAAGACGAATATATGCCGAGGATATAATACTCCCAGCAGACGTGGCGCAAATCTCGCTTCTAGAACAGAGAATACGCGAAAAAGAATCCATAGTCGGAGTACGGAGTACTCCCTGGAGTTGAATATCAATGGGCCAAACCAGACCGCCATGATCGTCTACGTACGTAACCCGCAATAGAAGCACAGTGACAGCGTGTCTTCAGCGCCATGACTCTCGCTTCTAGGTTTATCCACGCGAGATACGATGGAGAAGCCCTTGTTATCCGAGGTTGACGATAGACTGCGGAGTCAAATTGGAAGAATATGTTTCGCTAGCGAAGTATTCACAAGCGAGAGTAAGGACGCTGTTATCACATTGGCCGACGATTAATAAGAAATATGGGAACAGGTTAATTAAGTGAAGCCGTCTCGCCTAACGATCCCGCTCTAAGAAAGTTGATCATCCGAGCACTTGACCCTTTAACCAATCACAGTCGTCCCTTGCCGAATTCTTCCCGTGGATCCAGAGTTATAGTGTCCAAAGTTCTATATTTCTTCTCCTCGGCTTCTTGCCGAGCTCACTTATTTCCTTTTTTGCCTAGATCTGGGTACTCTATTCCGGTTTGATAATCGATTCTATTTTTCTGGAATTGCTACGGAACGTTCCTGAGGTCCATGCAAGCCACCGGAGGGTTTCTTGAATTAAATGACTTGCATTACAAATACTTCTGAACCTTCCAAGCAAGTATTTAAGTAGACCCTTGGATCTGCATATAGCTTCCGTCTTCTTTTTTAGTGATTCGTCCATGCTGTCTGGACCCATGGGCCCGTGGACGGCTTATGACTGCATGAACTCGGTCGCGGCCCGGGATTTTTGGGTCCTCTACGGAGTACTCTGTGCTCCGTAATAATATATATGTGGCATCGCTAGCTACGGAGATGTGATATGTAGTAAATACTGGGGGGTTCAACATCAAGTAGTGTGCTTTTAGCGTGGGTATAGTTGATGTCGTGTCAATTATATATCCACTCCAACTTCCTAGAGTGTTTCCCCCCCTCCTCCCCCAACCCCACCAAATAACAAGACAATACTCCAGAAAGGGAAAAAAGCGTGTAAAATACAAAACATAACAGGGGCGTTTCAGCTTTATTTGTGGATATCCGATTACCCTCTAATGGTTTTCGATTCTTCCAACGATAGTAGATTAGTCGCGGAAAAACTCGAAAATAATGTCAAGTGGAGAAGGTTCCCCGACTAACATGATTGTCTATGGGTAAATTTGAAATTTGCATGGATCATACTTTGTGACACGAACCCCAATATCGAAGATGTCTTACTTGGAGTTCATCCTGCATCCAATCCATCATAGACTATTTCGAGACTTTGGATGACGCCGAATGACTGGCTTGGCCTTTTTGAGATACCTTTGTTGAATTGATCGCAACGACAGAAGAGAGATCGACGAGTAATATGGGTCATAGTATTTATAAAAAGATTCCACTAAATTAACTTGGTGCTTTCTGTGGAAAGTACTGTGCCATTGACACTAAACTAAGCCTTAGTTTCAGTGGCTGTGGCTGCTGACTCTTCTTTTGGCGAAGGATCGTAGATTTCGGCCAAGTTGAACCGCTTCAGCTTATCGTAATCGCCTCCAACTACACTCATTCCAACCACATTCTGCGACGAGTCAGTTAAAGATTTAGCAGGATAGGGTTCGTTTTCTGGTACTCACTTGGGCAACATCGACGAGGATCATTAAATCATAGTTCGTCAAATTCACTGGATGCTCAGGTCCGACAGCATCAGCAACAGTCTTGATAATAATGTCACGTTTGAGCTTCGAATTGCCTCGCACAGTAGGCCGAATGGCGTACTAAATAAATGACAAATCAGCAATGTTCAAAGTATACTTCCCCTCACAGCAACATAATGCATGATCGGATCATTTCCCAGATCAGTAGCATCTCCGACTGCCCAAAAGCCCAAAGAGGGAAGGTAGGGGGTTTTAAACTCACCGTCTTCGGCGGCCCTCCCGAATGGAAATGAGGCTTGAGAATCTCTTTCGCAAAAGCCGCTAGGTCCACACTCAAAGTCTTCCGCATTGACGTGACTGGATGCATGCGCTTAATCCACCGGCTCTTCTTAGTCTCCGGGTGGGCATGTGCCTCGATACACAGACGGTGTACAAGCTTCACCGGGTCTATGGAGGGATCAAGACGCATAAATGTCACTATCAGGATTAGCACCAATCAACGGTTCGAAGGGCCGAGCGCAGAAGCGAAATGGCGTTTTTTTTGGGAATACAACACAATCGTCGACTTACCACACGGCATTTCCATTTGCATGGGCTCGAATTGACGACGTTTATCTTTGTTGGGCTGTAGGCCCTCCAGTTCCCTTCGGATCTGGGCCTCGATATCTTCATCGTCGGTATCTTGCTCCTCTTCCTCTTGATTTTCAGTGCCCTCAATGGCCTAGATAAAAAGTCAGCAAAACTGTAGGATTCACCTTCGGTGTGAGAAAAGGGAAAAGAAAAATCGTCCCACCTGAGAAAAAATATCCACTGCCTCAGATAGACATTTCCCTTCTCTGCCCATATCGCATGTCAAGAAGACACCCACATCGCCAGATTCAATAGGGACACGACTTTTCTGCGGCCCATATTTTCCACCACCACCCTAATCTCATTAGTTAGTGCTCTGGCAATCCAGATATAGAAACTAACCCTTTTCTTCTTTGAAGCGCGATTTGATTTGTCGGGCATAGCTCTTTTCCCCATTTGGACAAACCAAGCTTTGATATGCCAGGATGGTGGTCTGAGGTGGTGGGGGTGGGAGTTTTGTGTGATCGGCCGGGAGATGGCTGTGATTGGGTTTAGCCGGCTTTCAACAACAGATGCTTATTACATCGTACTATGTTTTCTATATTTTATATGCGCTATATTATTTAAAGATACTAAATATTGAAACAAATCTCTTATCTTTTGAGCTCTAGACCTCTAATTAACGTTTTAAACACAACATCCAATATCATAAAAATAGCAAAGTGGTGTGGTATGACATCAAATCAATGACGTAGCTAAAGTGGTCTCACCTTTTGCTTTATCAGGGAAGCAACACAAGTTTGTGCTACTCTTTTTTTTTTATATATAACAAACCTCTTACCCCTCGACTCTTACCTCCCACCATTTAATTATCATCCTTCCATCTATCTCCCCACCCACAAACACATCAATTCATCATGGCAACTACCGATATTGCCACCAAGGAGCTCGAAAACCCCATCGATGTTGCCGAGTACTTATTCCGACGTCTCCATGAGGTTGGAATTCGCTCAGTGCATGGTCTGCCCGGTGACTACAATCTTGCAGCATTGGATTACCTGCCTAACTGTGATCTCAACTGGGTTGGAAACTGCAATGAACTCAATGCCGGTAAGATAGACTTCACTACAAACGAACTATTTGGATCTAACACCAGTCTCTCTTAGGTTATGCTGCGGATGGCTATGCTCGTGTGAACGGTATTAGTGCCCTTGTCACTACATTCGGTGTTGGAGAGTTGTCCGCCCTCAATGCCATCGCAGGCGCATACTCCGAATTTGTCCCAGTTATCCACATCGTTGGCCAGCCCACCACTCAGTCTCAAAAGGATGGAATGTTGTTGCACCACACTCTCGGAAACGGAGATTTCAATGTCTTTACCAAGATGAGCGCGGGTATCTCCTGCTATGTCGCACGCCTGAACGACCCCCATGACGCAGCCACTCTGATCGACAGCGCGATTCGTGAATGTTGGATCCGCAGTCGTCCGGTGTACATCACTCTGCCAACTGATATGGTCGCTGCCAAGGTCAACGGCAATCGCCTGAAGACCCCGATTGATCTTTCACTGCCTAAGAATGACCCGGAGAAGGAGGACTATGTGGTCGATGTTGTCCTGAAGTATCTCCATGCCGCAAAGAACCCTGTCATCTTGGTCGACGCCTGTGCCATTCGTCACCGCGCACTAGAAGAAGTGCGCGACTTGGTGGAGAAGTCTGGCTTGCCAACCTTTGTGACTCCGATGGGCAAGGGAGCCGTGAACGAGGACCACAAGAACTTCGGCGGTGTTTATGCTGGTAACGGGTCTAACGCTGGAGTCAGTGAGGCCGTTGAGTCCTCTGACCTCATTCTGAGCATCGGAGCGATCAAGTCTGATTTCAACACTACCGGCTTCACTTATCGTGTTGGACAGCTGAACACTATTGACTTCCACAGTACCTTCGTGAGAGTGCGGTACTCTGAGTATCCCGATATCAACATGAAAGGTGTTCTGAGGAAGGTCGTTGAGCGCATGAATGCTCTGACTCCGGCTCATATCCCTCTGATCACGAACCGACTGCCCGAAAGTGAACAAGCCTCTACCGATCAAACTATCACCCACAAGTGGCTCTGGCCGATCGTTGGACAGTGGCTAAAGGAAAAGGACATTGTCCTTACAGAGACTGGCACTGCCAACTTTGGTATCTGGGAAACTCGCTTCCCCGCGAACGTGACTGCCATCAGCCAAGTTCTTTGGGGTAGCATTGGATATTCTATGGGAGCCTGCCAGGGTGCTGCTCTCGCTGCTAAGGAGCAGAAAGACCGCCGAACTATTCTCTTCATCGGCGATGGAAGTATCCAGCTCACTGTGCAGGAACTCAGTACTATTCTAAAGAATAAGCTGAACCCTATTGTGTAAGCATCACCATCCGCCCATAATTCTCATTTCATCAACTGACCATCTCCAGTTTCGTTATTTGCAACGATGGCTACACCATCGAGCGATACATCCACGGATGGGACGCAGGTTACAACGACATCCAGCCTTGGGAATTTGCCAACATCCCCACAGTCTTCGGAGCCAAGGACAACTACCAAGGCTACCGTATCAAGACCCGTGACGAACTTAACCAGCTGTTCGCTGACGAGGACTTCAACGTGTCCGACAAGCTTCGAGTAAGTACCAACACAAGGAAGTCTCAAATTCTCTGCTAACGCACTATTTAGCTGGTTGAGTTGTACATGCCTCGCGACGATGCTCCTGCGGCCTTGAAGTTGACCGCCGAGGCAGCTGCGCATCGCAACAGCAGCACATAAGCTATTCAAAGCGCGAGAACATATTATGCTATTGTTGTAATGTCCAGGTGCACACGAAAACAGCGTAATATCTGAACTCTGGATTATCTGGGCCTTAGCAGTTTGTTTTCTATCTTCACGGCGTTTTCTTTCAAAGAGGGTAGCCACGTACTGGCTGATTTAATAACGCTTGCTATTGAGGAGCACGAATATCTCCGCTATTCAGTCACGAAATGCAATGAAATTTTCATATTCTTAATAGTCTACCATTATTAAATAGCGTCCGGCGTAAAAATAGCAAGCTATAAAGTAGATGGGGATATGCAAATTGCAGAGCCGGCCCGATGTCTGGAGATTCTCGGGAAGAAATTTAAATTACCAAATGCGAGTCCTTTTAATTCGTTCAGCTCTGAGGATAGTTGCTCCTGCTAGGGATTTCAAGGTCGGTATGCCTACCGGTGAGAGAAGAAAGAGCAAAAGAGCCGGCCGATGGCCTAAAGAGCCTCACCCTCGGATACTGGACCGAGGTAAATACTTCAGCTTCCGCTAAGGTAAAGCTGTGAGAGATGTTGACTGAGGCAGAGCTTGTCTATACTTTGTAGTGTGAAAATATAGACCCAGATCGGCCGGGTTTGGCTCAACGAGGAAAAAAACCCTTAGAAAAAAACTCTGCTCTTCCTAGACCAGGAAAGAAATAAAAATCTCCCGGTAGTGGCCGCATCTTCCGAGGGCTGAAAAACTTGGAACCTTGGAATGAATGGCCCGAGAGCACCCGGCATACACTTGTCGGCATTTGGGTTTGGACCTTGGAATTGATCTGATAATCTTCATCTGATAAGATGGATTATACACATACACAGTAGCCTTATGCCTAAGTCCAGATACTAGTACCTATTCATCATACCTAGCTTACATACCCGTGTTAAACCTACGACAATGTAATTATCGAAGGCTACCTCTACATCATGTGGCACCCTGCAGATTTCGGGTGGAGCCCCGAAATACATCTGATTGTCACCTTCCTCTCCACTTCGCGCAAAACAAGCCTGTGGCGCCCAATAGGTTTGCATTTTCATTGGAGGCCTGACTGATCGGGTAATATAACATGTCTTGGGGTCTATTAATTTACTAGAAAAACCCATGTTTCCCCTGTATTTTTTGCTACTCTTGGATATCCTAGTTGTATCTACCTCCTACCTCCAAGCTGCAATGCAACACTTGAATTCATAGGCTAGATATAATATAAAATCCTGGGAAAATAATAGAAGGTGAAAAAAAGAGAGAAGAAAAAAAAAACAACGAGCCTACCGCGACTGACTGCCGGGAAACCGGGTTTTCTCAGCCGTCTAGCCAAACCCTAAAAACAAGCCGGACCTGACCGGTGGCCCATAAACCAATCTGTGCGCAGAATGGTACCGGCATAATTCAGCCACGAAAAGCACTGGTGAATTTCACAGCCTTCCAGATTGCGTGGCGTGCCGACTGGATCATTTTTTCGGCTCTAGTTCCATGGCTTGGGTTATCTGATCCGTTCAACCCAGGCACTTTGGTGCACTAACTACCTGTATCCATGGATGTGCAATGATAAGTCTCAGCTACGCTTTCTTGGTTAGCTTCCATAAGGAATAAAAGTACTAAAAATCTGTTTAAATGATCCATATATAGTTGGATTCCCGGATTGTCCCTTTCATTTCCTTTTCTTTCTCATAGTCTCAATCTTTTCTTCCGGGGCTGCCCATACAAGAGAGATCCTCGCTTGTAAGCCATGGTTGTCATCAATCTGACTCGTGGTCGGAAGGACGGTGCAATCGTCGAGGACCTGCGCCCAACTCAAGAAAACGAGAAAACCGATACCAATGTGGAGCGGAATGCAAATGATGATGGCCTGAACAACCTAGATCGTGCGGAGAAGGAAATCCGGGAACATCCCGACGAGGTCAGCGCAAATGCCGCAGATGGTGTGCGCAAGGCTGAGGCTGTTGCTTTGGTTTGGAGCAAGAAGGCTGTTGTCGCGACCTATGCCTGGTAAGTAGTATGAAGCAGAGTAGTAGATGAACTAGACTCTAACATCTATAGGATCTGGATCTGCTTCTTTATGCTGGCGTTGCATTCCTCTATCGGTTCCAACGTCCTCTACTATGCCTATTCTAACTTCCAGAATGCTTCTCAGGTCAGCACGGCCACCATTCTGGCAAGCATTGTCGGTGGAGTTCTTAAGCTCCCCATCGGAAAGATCTTGACACTATGGGGACGTGCTGAAGGTCTTATCATCTTCACGTGCGTGTATATCCTCGGTATTATCATTCTTGCTGCTTGCAACAATGCCAACAGTTACGCTGCCGGATACGTTCTGTACTGGGTTGGATATGATGCGATCTATATCATCCTGGACATCTTCATTGCCGATACTTCGGGTATGCGCAACCGTGCTTTCGCCTTTGCTTTTGCCTCCACGCCCTTTATCTGCACTTCGTTCACGGGTCCCCTGGCTGCTACGCATTTCCTGAAAACTTCCAACTGGCGCTGGGCCTACGGCTCTTTTGCTATTATCATGCCCTTTGTTTTCCTGCCCCTGGCTGGTGTCTTTAAGTACTATGAGAACAAGGCCCGGAAAATGGGTATCCTACGGCGTCCAGTTAGCGGCCGGACTATCATGCAGTCCGTCGTTCACTACTTGCATGAGTTTGATAGTGAGTATATATATATATTTCCTCTGTTCTTAATCAACCACTAACCGAATTTGCAGTCATCGGTGCCTTCATCCTGATGGCGGCTTTTATCTTGTTCCTCCTTCCCTTTAGCTTGGCTAACTACGGTCGTGCACAATACGGTGAAGCCGCCTTTATCGCCCCGCTAGTTATTGGCTTCTGCCTCTTCTTCGTATTTGCGGCTTGGGAAAAATGGTTCGCTCGTACCCACTTCATCCCCTACCAGCTATTTAGGGACCGTACCGTCTTCGGCGCATGTGCTCTCTCGGCTATCCTCTATTTTAGCTTCTACTCCTGGGATCTATACTACTACTACTTTGTGATGGTCGTATACAATCTCGATGTCACGATGACTGGCTATATGACAGCGATTTACACAGTGGGGTCCTGCTTCTGGTCCCCGATCTTCGGCCTATGGATCCGCTATGTGAAGGAGTTCAAGTACAGCTGTCTCTTCTTCGCTCTTCCATTGATGACCCTCGGCGCCGGGCTGATGATCCACTTCCGTGGCTCGGACAGCGACATCGGATACGTTATCATGTGTCAGATCTTCATTGCCTTCGCTGGAGGTATGATGGTCATCGGCGAGCAAATGGCCGTGATGTGCGCTTCGGACCGTGAAGGTATTCCCATGATGATCTCGCTGGTTTCTCTATTCTCAAACTTGGGCGGTGCCATTGGCTATGCCGTCTCTGCTGCCATCTATGCCAACACTTTTCCCCAGGGACTGCGTGAGGCCCTGCCCGAGAGTGCCAAGGACCAGTGGGCTGCCATTTATGCCGGTGGCTATGTTGCTCAAATGAAGTTTCTGCCCGGCACTGAGGAGCGTGATGCGATCAACTTCGCCTACGGCTACAGTCAGAAGTACGGCTGTATTGCTGCGACGGCAATTCTTGTGCTTGCTGTTCCGTGTATCGGTATGTGGAGACATTACAGAGTGGACAAGGAACAGAACAAGGGTACTGTTCTCTAGATCTGGAGGTATAAAGTCTCGAGATTTAGATTCGGCTTTTTGTGTACAACAAATGGGGCCACTTGATGTGTCCAATTGTGGATGTTTATGACTTCTCAAAAATAATCTTCATGGGTATTCTGTTGGGCTACTAGCGCGATATAATTTAATTTATTATGCCTTTTTTTTACTCTATTTTTCAAGTGACAGGCTTTGAGTTCTGTTACTTCTAGTGTAAGTACGGAGTTCTCCGTAAAGGACTCGCTCTAATACTAGTATTCCGGGCTATGGCAATTATAGGGGTACACTAAACCATGAATGTCTCATCCAACGTTTCTAGAGAGCATGTCAGAAATTGAAGACAGACGCCACAGGGCTGTTATTGGCGCGCAACGGGTGCTAGGTGATCACGGGCCACCGAAGGTGAGATTAGGAGATTTCAGGGTCTCGGAAGGGGTCTGGAAAGTATCCCATGCAGAAAGGGTTGAAACGTATGTTATACTGTTCTTTCTTTCTTACTGTGTACTGTGTGTCCTAGATACCTAGGATAACTACAATTGCTATAACCCTAAAAAGGAAGAGCAAGTTACCAAATCTAAGAGCCACGTGACAATTCTTCTCAAGACATCAAAACAATATATACGACGTTCCACACGCCATTTCATATATTATCCCTTCGATAATTATCGGTGAGTTCTATTCGTTTCCCGAAAATACATGGGAAGTAAGGAGTTGTGGTGTTCTGCGTTCGCTTGCACCTGCTTGGATTTCATTCGACCTTTTTTGTGATCTTGCAATCTTCCAATCTTTCGACCCAATCGCATCAGCCCTCCAAAACCTTTGGGAGCTAAACCCTTGGGAGCTCTTCGGCCGGTGACTAACCATGTACTGAGTTCAGAAGACTTTTTCCCCCTTCGTTTGAGTCGATTATTGAGATTCTCTTGGCTTTGTACCAGCCCGTCGCGCGATCTCGGTCTGTTCCGCAATCCCAAGCGCTGCGATAACATCGGTGACGCCGAAACGAACCATGTCAACTCGCGCACTGACGACCTAAATCCGTGTCATTTCTGCCTCTCTGAAGCGATCAACAAGACCGAGTATCTAGTCCTCGAATCCGACTGTTTGTTCGGTGCCTGGGACGTCTAGCATGATCATACCTAAACAACCCCGAAAACCCCCCTCTGCCCAAGCGCCTCCTGGACGTCGCAGTCGAGACAGCGCGATATAACTACACCCAGCCGGCAAATCCAGTGCATCGGCTATCAAAATGGATGGCCGTCAGCAGTATGTCCCGGGGCCCCCGCCTTCCTCTCAAACACAACACATGAACCTGCCTCCGCCTCCGCCTCGACACCCACAAGCCCAAACGATGGTGCCACCACCTCCTCCTGGCCCACCTCCAGGGGCGACCTATGGTGCTCAAACAGGGTGGCAGCAAAACTGGGGCAGACCGCCGCTGAATCCAGGCTTCCCACCGCCGCCACCTCTCGCCCCCGCACCAAACCAGCATCTAACATACGGTCGCCCACCGGCTCAGTTGTCGATAGTTCCTCCGCGTCATGACCATCAGCCTCTGACATCTGCGACTTATATACCCGGGAACGATACTATCGGCGTTGGCATTCCAGGATTGTTCGACCCCCATGGAAGAGCTGCTCCATATGATCCATATGCCCACACCAATGCCGAGAGACAACGGTTGGGTCTCAGCCAAATGCACGATCACATCAATACTTCAGTCCCGTATAAAACAGATCCAAGCCTTCCCCAAACGCCAGGTGGCCGCACTATTTCTTCGCCCTACGCTCTTCATGGCAACATTCATGAATTAACGTCCAACGATAGTCCGCAACAGCAGGCGACAGTTCAAACTACCGAACTTACCAAAACTACAAGTCATCGTCACAATCCCAGCGGTACTTCGCTGGGTGGTTTATCTCACAGTGAAGCTGCGATTCAGTGGCCATTGGATCGCGTGCTCCTCTGGCTTGCAAAGAATGGATTTTCCAACGATTGGCAGGAAACATTCAAAGCCTTGGAGCTCGAAGGCGCCGACTTCCTAGAGCTTGGACATGGATCTGGTGGGCGTGGAAATCTTGGAAAAATGCATCAAGTAGTCTATCCTCAATTGGCAAAGGAGGTCGGCCGGAGTGGCAAAAAATGGGAACCTGGCCGGGAACGAGATGAAGGAAAGCGTATGCGCAAATTGATCCGTCAAATCCATGATGGTTCGCAAGACTATACCGTCTCCACACCACTGAATCAGACGCAGCCGCCGGCGACTGCGTTCCCTGAGACTAGTGCAGCTTACTTCTCCAATAATGTCCCAGAGCCACGCTCTGCTGGCCCTATCCCTGGTGTTAATGATGTTAGTCCGGATCATCTGAGTGCATTACACGCCTCCAACCACGGCCAAAAGCAACCTGGGCAACGTTCGGTTACCATGCCGGTCCCTGGTGGCCACGATTCGCCGAGATACAATGACTCTCCGGCACGAGAAAATTGGATGCGACCTGACCATTTGCGGTCTGAGTATACCCGCACCGCCTTGTCGGGGATGAACACCGACCATCGACGCCAGAGTCCGTCCATTGGCAGTGAATCGGGCACTTTTCAGGGATCATCTCTTCGGCCCCATGAAGAAAGTCCAAATAGTGGTAGCCCAGCCCTTCAACATGCGTCACCCGCTTATACAGGAGCTTTCTCATCATCTACTGGGGATCTCACGTTGAAACAGCATGATCACTCTCGGGGCAATAGTACTGAGTCGATCCCCGGATTCAGTCGGGGCGCCACAGGCCGGTACTATGATGCACGTAGACAAGGCCAAGATTATGATGCTCGCAGGCAAGGCCCAGAGGGTGCTCGCCCCTCGCCTCAAGATGGGTTTGGTCGGCAATGGAGTGACCAATCCTCGTCTTCGTACTCTAAGGAACACAAGGGCTTTTTCTCCAATATTCTGAAGAAGAAGCCGAAAAGTCAGCCATCTCCTGATCAGCACCATGAAGACTCGTCACCTACGACGAGCCCGGAAACTCGCCCGAATGAGGCCTATCTTCCTTATATAAAGCCTTCTTACAACTCCAGCGACATGTCTGTTGGTGAGCGTCCATCCACAGCGACCACCAAGACAAAAAAATGGATATTTGTCACCACAGATGGCTTGAACTTCCGCTTGCTTGACATCTCCGACCTGGACTCTTACGAGTCATTGCGTAACGGGATCTGTGAAAGCCTCGCGGTCGACCCGACCAATGCTCAGATTTTTTTCACTCAGCCCGGGCAGAGTGAGCATGAGGATCCTATGAGTGACGCAAACCTCGCACAGTCACGTCGAAGCAAGTCGGATGCATATGGTTCTCTCAAGCTGTTTGTACGAGGAACTCCTATGCTTCCCATGCCATCTAATACTCCTCGAGTCGATGGCCTGGGAGTTTCATTCGCAGACAAGTCCAATATGTCCCCCACGGCAACACACCACCAGGTCCATAGGAAGCCCTTGGACGAAGAAGCCCTCAATAGGTTATCACCGCATCGCACCAGACCAGAATCTCCATTGTTGGGCTCTCGGCAAACTACTCTCAAGGCTTCGACAGGCAAGGCGTCCTCGGCAGAGCCTGGACAGGACGCAACCCAAGCTCTTGGGTCTGACCAATCCGATTTGCTCGCTCGCCATGAGGAGCATCTCCGCGAAGTCGAGCGCAAACAAAAACAGTATTTACAATCCAAAATACCACAGTCTCACCAGAACAAAAATGCGTACAGTGACACCGGGTACAGGCGAAACGAGATCATTGATTTTGACAGTCCTCGTATCTCGCCTTACGACGAAAAGAAAGGGGATACTCTCGTACCACTTCGCAAACCTCCAACAGCTCCAATCGAGTCCAACACTCTTACCAAGGTCAATTCTCTCAGCAGGAGACCTACCACTCGTGAAAACCGTGAAAACCGGTTGCAGCCGTCCTTGGGCGCAGCAATTGCCAGCGTTGGCCGCATTACAAGTGCCGTTGGCACGCCATTGCCTTCGGTACCGGCTACATCTAAGCCTTCAGCCAACACTCAAGACAGTGCAAGCTCCGGGTCTGAGCGACCAGGATCATTTGATTCTACTGGAACATTTTCAAGTAGAACAACCCTCGGTCAGTATATGCATGACACAGCGCGGCCTGATCGATCTCCCGCTGACTATGTTTCAGACTCTTCGAGGCCCGCCTCGAAGATGGGCACTGAACGCGAGAAACCGCCAGTCTCGTTTGCCAATCAGTCACCCGAAAAGCCTGTTTCTGAAGACCCACCGAGACCAGGGTTGCAATCCCGCAAGTCATTTGGCCCAGAGTTCGACTTTGAAGAGAATCAAGTATCCTTCCAGCGAACTCCTCAGCAGCAACAGGACTCTGATGATGACTCCGATGATGACTCGGACGATGGCCTATTCCAAGTCCGACCTTCCAGGGCCCAGGAAGAACAGAGAGAAGCGCAAAAGGAGGCTGACAAGAAGTCGGAGAGGCCATCGCTCACTGTCAACACAAAGGATCAGTTAAGATCAAAATTGTCCGTCAGGTTCAAATCTCCAAGCACTGCCGGTCCCAGTTCCAGCGGGGAGGCATCTGATGGGAAGGAACCGGTGTCTAGTACCTGGGGACCAGTCTCGCCTGAAGATGAGAGACCTGGACCACTACGGCGGGAGTCATTTGCACGAGATATTTGGGCAAGCAGACCCGCTGTCGAAGGCGTTATCGACCATCTCGATGACTTCTTCCCTGACGTTGATCTTGACGCTCCTTACTTGGATGAGCCCTCATCGCCCAATACCAAGGCTATCAGCGAACATGACGTGAAAAAGGAAGCACTGCCACCTATGCCGCATGCAACCCATGCACCTGATACAGCTCCGGTGAGACCACCTGAACCTGCCAATTTTGCTCGACAGAAACTTGCTCGTAGTGGAGGCGGTGGCGGCGGACTCTCTCGCATGAAATCCATTCGACAGGTGGCCCAGGGAGCAAACCGAACGAACA